GACCCTGAAATCCTCCCAACCGCTTGCCCATGCCCTGACCGACCGGTCTGTCCCCAGCCTGCAGGACCTGGGCACTTCCCTATCTCCATGGCCTGAAGCTTCCACTCATTGCTGGCCCCCTTGGGGGAAGATGTCCTCCTGAAGGGGGATGGTGCATGGCAGGAAAGCATCGATTTCAATTGCACTTCACTACCAAGAGCTACTACCAAAGCTCATCACAGAAGATTCACGACACAAAGCGTGATTCCTTTGCAGCAAGCTGGAGTACCCAGGAAAGTCTCATCTCCGCCGAAGTCTTTTACAGTTTTGCTGTTTCCTGCAGCAGGCTCAGATCCTGCGTAGCTGAGCGGCCTCGCTGGGCTGTGCGTGCCAGGGGAGAGAGGACAGCAGGATGGGGCACAGCCTGCACTTCCCACTCAATAAACATTATCAGGAGAGTTTCTGCTTTAGCAGAGAGACTAATTTAGGGATCTTTCTCTTTCTTTGGCTCTGGCTGAGAAGGTGCAAGTTCAGGGACCCTGTCGACCTCTCGTTAGATGCATTTCATTCCCTAGGTGCGACAGCCAGCTGCACTACAGCTAACCAGGAACGCACGAGTGCGCTGGTGATATCTGGGGAGGAAGTTCCCCAGATCCACAGTGCCATCCGTGCCCAGGTTTCTCCCCAAAAGTGGTCCCCCAGGTGATGGTACTGGGGACTCCTTCGTCACCACTCCTGAGCTGTGGGACATGCCGGACGCTGAAGGTGAACGTGAACATCTTGATCCCACAAGATGCCATCTGCCAGAAAGGTGCTACCCGACCTGCCTGATGCTGTAAAAGCACGTTACTGAATCACACACTCTTTTGGGCAACTGATGTCTGTCACGGTGTAAAAAAAAGTCTCATCTCAGACACCTTCACGGTGCAGGACACACGGCGTGGAAGCTGCTGGCAGCAAACGCGCTGGCACAAGCTTCAGCTGGAGGTGTGGGCAGCCCATGTATCTCCCTGCTAAATGAGCTTCTGCACTACTTTATCTCTATTCCCTCAGAGATTTATCATCTTTCTCAAACCATGGAATTGCTCCACTGAATACTAGAAAAACCCCATGGGATGCTGCGAGCTCAGTTTCTCTGACTTGACATTCTCCTGCAGATCAGAAACCCTACCCAGAAGAGCCAGCTCCTGACCGAACGGTCCACAGCGCTTTGGCAGCATGTGGTTGCTAACCCGCAGCCTCGGCAACTCACAGGCAGAGAAAATTCAGGCGGGGGAAGAAACCCAGAAGATGCATTTCCAACACCGGCACAGCCTCGTGCCCACCCGAGGACCATGGTCAATCTTTTATCAAAGCTGTCATGGGCTGGTTACTAAACACCAGCACAGAGCCTGGGAAGTCAACCGCTACTCTCAGGCATGTGCACAGGAGTTGTTTTTACATCAGCATCACCCACAAAGTGCTTAAACAATCTTTTTCAGAAGCCACTGACTGTTTATAAACACCTACCAAAGTGGTTATGGGTTTGCAGCTAGGGCACGTTACCGAGGGAAAAAATCTATGGTTGTATTCCCTGTGGTTTTGCGTTGTAATAACTGATCTGCTGCTGCCAGAAATGGTCTTTTATTTCCTCACATTATACTATTAAACTTAATAGTGCTTAAATATTAACTTGGCTGAGAAGCTGCTTTATTTTTAAGCCAACTTGCATTAAGAATAAGCCCAATTAAAGAAATTACTGAAGCGATAAGCTGACTTCATAAAAAATATGATAATGTTCAGATGAAAATTTATATGGAGAAAGGAATGGGTAGCTGAGCATGACCCATGGTATTTCCTGGGATGCTTCTATCCCGCAGGAACGTGCCCATCTGGAACATTCCTGACTGGCAGCCACCTCCCCACCAGTGTTACCGGGGGTTTTGTAGCCTGACGTGGGTGCTGCACGGAAGAACACACAACACAAAGGGTGTGCAATGCCCAGCTACAAAGCAATTTACACACTGCTCTGGTAGCTTAATGCTCGGTAACCAACCACCCTATGGGTTATGCCAGTAGGATTTTTTATGATGCAAATATTCAGGATCTAGGTTTCAAGCCCATGAAATGGGAGGTGATAGCTCCCCTCGAATACCCTCGTTGCCCCTAACCCTTCATCCCAGTGCTGCACTGCAGAGGATGTTATTGTAGTGGTCACGTGTCACGAAGCCCTCTGAAATGAAAATATTTAGGTATGCGTTAGTTACCAATTTTTTTTTAGCCGTTAAACAGTCAACTTTCCTGTAAGCCACAATAAACTAAAGAGAAAAATTGCAACAAAATGTTCTCATTTTTTTCAGAAAAAAATCTTTCAGCTACCAGAACACTTGGCTGTGAATTAGCTTTTAATTTTAAGCATTCTTACATCAATAGTATGACTAATTAAAGAACTTACTGAAGCCATAACCCAACTAACTAAGCAGAATACAATAATGTTCAAATGAAACTTTAAATGAAGAAATCATTAAAGACTGCTGTGTTATACAGGGTTTTTTGTACATAGTAGAGGCCACATCTATCTGATCTCCTTCCAGAGCAAAAGTCTTTCTTTCCAAGTACAAAAAAAATCAAGGAAATCCAAGTCTTTTTAGTTTCAGGCCTTTTTCTCTGTTTTCCAACCAATGAAGCTATAACGTGGAGCAGCACAATCTTGCATCCTCAGCCTTGCTGGGGATATGCACCCTTTGAGATTGCTTTCCAAGGCAAAGGTGTACTGTGGACATTCTCCATCTGCCACTTGGGACCTCATTTCTCTGGCAGAAATACGAGCCAAACATGAGAGCTCAGCTCTCAACCTAGTGCATCCTCTGAAAAATCAGAGTCCGAGCCGTAAACTAATTTGGCCATGAAAAGGAGTGTTTATTGCTCACCACCCACCACCATCGAAATACACTGGGATGATCTGACCAAATATTGGCAAGTGGGAAATAGTTTTCCCTGATGGTCCACATCTAACCATTTCAAAGCAACAGAAAAGTCCTCAAAGCGTGATATTCAGGCCTTGTACGTGGGAGTTTAAAGAGCAATAACCGTGCTGTGAGACCATCTCCTCAGCAGGCTTAATTAAGTGAATTTGCCCAGGGAGTAATCACTGCCGCACGACCAGCAAGAGGAGGAGGCTGCCCAAAGCCATTGCTGTGCATCCTGAGTACTCCAGAGGGAAATACATTTCTCTCCCCAAAACCCTACCTGACGTTGAAATGTGAGAAAGCAGCTTGATGAGCACCTGAGCTAACGAGGATCCCTGGGAAGTCACCTCTTTGCCCTGCCATGTCCCTGATTTCAGATTCTTCAGTGGATGGGCTTCTCTCAGACTTGTCCCTGTACTGACTTTCTGCTGCTTTTCCATCAGTTCAAAGCATTTATGCACTTTTTGCCTTCTCTACCTCCCTTTCTCGAAACATGTTGCCATTTTTGAGACCTTCTCCCAGTGAAAGTGAAAGGTGGAGTGGCAACACCAGACAGAGGGGACACTGCAGCAGACTGTCCAAGGGCACAGGGATTATGAGCTCAGGCTGAGCATCTCGGCAGCCAGATCTCTGAGTGTGTGCTGGTCCCCCACGTAACCTCCAGGTCTCAGCTCAGAAGCTCCGGCTACATTGATCCAGATCAGCCCAGCACTTTGTTTAGGAGAATCAACATTGTCCTGCAGGAAAAAAAGGTATTTCTGGAAATTTCCTGCCATGATTATTTGCTCTAGCTCTTAGTAAGCAAATCCAGCGTGGCACAGTGCTGAAAAGGGTTACCCAGAGAGCATCCCAGGAGGTCTTCAGGACTCAGCATGGCAAAGCCAGGGCTGTCCTGGTCCAGTGCTGGTGCTGGTCCCACTACTAGGGCCTAGAGCCCTGTAGAGCTCCCTTCCAACCAAAACTGCCATGAGCCTACCATCCAGCATCTCTCCATCTCTTTTCCAACAACCCCTTGACTCCCTAAGGCAAGGCTGATGGCCTCTGACTTGCTGTCATTAATGTGTTTCTCCAGGCTTCTCTTCAATTATAGAGAGGAGCAGGAAAGTTATCTCAGAATGGAAAAGATAAGGCAGAGTAGTGGAGCGTGAAATTCCCTTCTTTGGTTCCAGCTCAGCCAAGGGAAGATATCCCAGGCT